TTATTACACAGCAATGAACAATATTTGTAGCTTGAATAAATATTAATCAATTGCAGAAACATATATTAGTCTGTTATGGAGGAGCTACATCTATACCAGACTCTGTTCTGTTTGTATCTAAGTCTGAATGACTTTTATTTTAAAATGTTGCCAGATTATCGTCATTTTTTTTTTTTTGTCATTTTTTCACTGTGTCCCACTGCCGGCCGGTACCAAATGACCTATGGACCGGTACTGGTCCGCGAAGCAGGGGTTGGGGACCCCTGATCTATACAGTGTTCCATTTAAAACCGGCCCTTCAACAGGAACTGTATGGCTGATGTGGACTCTGGTGAAAATGAGTTTGACACCCCTGGTCTGAATGAAGCCTGTACCCGTTCTTCTTCACCTTCTTGTGATGGTCCCCCTTATGTTCCTTTAGTTTTAACGGGCTCTTTGCCTTCACGGACCTTGTTAACATCATATTATATCAGTGATATTATTACCACCATCATTAACTCATGCACCTGCAGCAACCTGTTTGAAGATAATGAAATAATAGAAATGTGAAGCCAATGAGACTGCTATGCTATGCCGACTTTGCTCTGTGGTTTTATGACGTTAGCTAAACTAAACATTTCCACATACGTTCATTAAAGATATAAGAGGAGTGGAAGAGAGAGGTCAGCGTGGATGAAAAACATGTCTGCAATGAATAAAATGGCAACCCGCACCTGTTTGTTTATAATGAGAGTCTCACCCACTGAGAGAGTGCATCCGAGGTGACGTCATTGCCTCGTCTCAGGTCTGTCCTCTATTAAAGTAGGAAAAAAAATGAAAATTCAGAGATATGATGTCAATCATTAGGAGAACGAGCTCATGGACCACACGCTGGATTCTTGGTTATTTATCGTACAAACATATGCTACGTTTGTACCTCCCACCTCACAAGCAACTAACGTACCTGTGATTGGCTGATTGGACTCGCCCCTCTCAGATTTTTTTTTCGTCCTATTTTTAACCGTTGGTAGATTTCTTCGTCGTCATTTAGTCCATATAATTTCTTATATAGTTCTCGTCCAGTTTTCTAATTAGAAGGTAAGGTTGTTGTGTTTACAAGTTGACGAAATAAACGCTGATTTAAGTAACGATAAGTGAGTTAAAAGGGAAATGCGTCTCATTCTGCCCATTCTTATTCTTCAATTTTAATTCATAACCCTATTAATTATCTTTAGTTTTATTTTTACTTTTTATGGACCACACATCACAGCCAACTCGTCATATAAACTTTTTACCACACGCGCTCTGCCCTCTTGTGTCCGAACAGCTTCTATGCAGACTCTTCATATAATTTTTCTGTGCCTTGCTTTCACAGGAGTACCTTGATGTTTTGGGCAGACCAATGGTGAAGGCCAATGAGAGGGCCAAGCAGGTTCAGTGGACCAACGTCTACCTGGACGCACTGGTACGCTCCACATTGTCTTTTTTTTTTCTGAGTTACATGTGGAGCCTTTGGCCAAAATTGGGAGAAAATCTGCTTTGTGTCAGATGTAGGACTTCAGAAAAGTCTCCGCCTCTGATGCCAAACATTTGCACTTTGTAAAACTCCACTCCATCTGTGTTGCAGCGGTATTTGTGACAAAGACTGATTAACTTAAAAAAAAAAAAAAAACACTCTGCGTGCAATAATATTTGTTGCTCTTAAGCTTCCCTCCAGATTTACTCGAGGAGGTGGGTGTAGATAAGAAAGTCAGTCCTGGCCGACTGAGCCAAATGCTTCAGTTATTGTCATCAGTTTCCTGATAAGACGCTGTCAACGTTTGGGACTGTATTGACCTTGTTAGCAACAGAAAGGCCTCTGCCTTTTGTAAAATGGAAAAGTCTTTTTTTCTGTGACGTGGCGGCTGGCTTTTTTCTAACGGCTCACTGGTTCACAAATGAAACATGCAGAGGTTTTTGATTTTTGATTTTTGTCCTGAATCAAACGTGAGTTTGTGCTGCTGTGAAATGAACGTGACATGATTGAAACAATGGTTTTTACATCCGACATGTCGTGTGTGTGTTTGATCCTGCAGGAGCTCGGCCTGGTCATTACTGGAACCCTGCCTGTCTTCAACAAAACCAGTACTGGTTCAAAGGTATGGGGAAAAAAAAAACACTTACAGTACCACAAACAAAATTTAAAAGGCCAAATTGTAAAAATATTTCTTATTGCCTTTAACTACAAGAAAGTTTTTGTAGTTTTAGTTTGTACATTTAAAAAAAAAAAAGAAATTGTTTTTTTTTTTGGGACAGTTTTAACAATTTCTTGTCAGGTTATTTCCTCCTTACCTTTTGAGTTCTTGATGTTAAATGTTTCAAATGTTTATAGAAAAATAATGAATTAAAACAGGTTTTAAAATTAAAACAGACATTTAAACAAGATCTTGTTTTTTTGTATTTTTTAATTGAACTTACTGAACTTAGTTACTTATTTATCAAGGTCTAATTTTTCATTTTGTTAACAGATATATAATTATTATAAATAATACTTGATTTTTTTCCCTTCATTTCTAACACTTCTGACATGAACATGTCTTAATAAACCAACTCTGTTCAGAAAAGCTGAGCATTTTTTTTGTATTCTGAATAAATTCACATGAGTAACACTTTAAATTCCTCCTTAAATCCACAGTAGGTCTTCATTCATAAAACCCCAGGTTTACTGATTCACACACTTGCTGAGTAAACTTGTTGTCTTACACTGGGAACCCCTGGGGTGGGCCTTCATGTCGGAACCTTTGTGACACATGCTAATGTTATCCAGACCAGAACTTAAATATACAACATAAATAATCACCCATTATCGTCTCATCCCCCTCTTTTATCTTCTCCCTTCTTGTGGCCCGTCTTTCAAAATCCCCCGTTTGACACCCGGGTCCCTCAAACCGCTCCCACATGCCTCTGCAGGAGGAACGTTTTCCAAAGTTACAAGGAGATCAAACCTGTGGATCAGAGCGATAAATGATCCGGTAGCTAAGTGCTTCAAGATGAGTTTTAAAAATGTCCTATCTGGTGAATGAGTGCTCGGGGTTTACCTCCACCAGGACGGAAAACAAGGCCGGAATTCCTTGTCAGTGACTCATGGAGTCCTGTTAGAGCACTGGGAATGAGATAGAGCAGATTTCTGCAGCACTTTATTTCCTTTAAGTCCCACAGAACACACATAGGGGATTTGATTCATCCTGAAGGAACTGCAGGACCTACACTGACTTTACATATGGATTATTTTTTCTGCTGCAGAAATCCCAGAACCAGCTCATCCTGGGGGTGATGGCTATTGATGTTTCCCTGGAGGACATCAAGAGACTCACGCCTCGGTTCACCGTAAGAAACGCTACGAAATGATTGTTCACCTCCTCCTTCAGCAGATACTTTAATTTTTCTCACTTCTTTGTTGCTTCTTGTTATAGTTTGGACCAAACGGTTACTACTTTGCCATCGATCCAAACGGATATGTGCTACTCCACCCTAATCTCCAGCCACTAGTAAGATGGTTTACCTTCTTTGGTGTTTTGTGTGTCCTATTAAAACAACTAAGCCTGCAGGTGGCGCTCCTAGGCCAGAGCACCTCCCCATGCCCTCAAGTCGTCAGGCCTAAAAGCTGACTATATTGTTTCTCCTGGTTGTATTAATGCAGATAATAATGTCCTTAACAGCTGTTTCTTTTGTATGGATGTCACATTGAGAGGCCACCATGCCCTTGCAGTCTTAGAATAACGGCCAAACAGCAGGGGGCGTGATAAACAAATCTGGTAAGGCCATGTCACAGTGACCTCAGGTGACAGTCCTAAAAAATACAGCGTTCTTAGGTGAAAAAAAGAAAAAAAAAGAAGGAGAAAAAATAATAAGAAACGATAAGATTAAGAGAAGATTAAGGAGGAATTCTTAGGTGAAGAAAGGGAAAACAGAAGGAGAAAAAAATAATAAGAAAAGATAAGATTAAGAGAAGATTAAGGAGGAAGAAAAAGAGAGAAAGAATAACAAGAAGGGATAAAGATAAGCAACATGAAAAAGAAAACGAAGCAAGAAGAGGAAGGAGTAGAAGAAACAGAAGCAGGAGATGAAGGAGGGGAAAAAGACAATCTGTTGTTATGTGGAACAATCAATGTTTTTAATCCTGTTATTATTGTTTTTTAATAGAAGATATAATTCTCTGAAAGGTTTTGATGAAACAAAGCGATTCCTACCATTAAAACGACCACATCATCTGGCCCAGAAATGGGTCTTTCACCACAGTTCATCATCACCCGCAGCCTACAAACATTTTAGCAGCCCATTATTCTGCGTGGCACGTTTGCACAAACCATTCTTTGTCGTTATCTGCGTTATGAAACATGGCGTTTTTCACTTCTCTTTTACGACACGCATGTGGCTGCAGGATGATGTTTGTTTTATAAGAGGAACATGTTTCCTCTTATGTTTTCTGTCCAAGTGCTTGGCGTGTTACTGTGTGTTGCGTTGGTTGTGTTCTCAAATTTACCCTCACATTATAAATTACTCCACTTTAATGAGGATGAAATGCTTTCTTTTATTTTTCCTTAATTGTTTTAACCAAACAACTCGTGATTTTCTCTCCGTGCAGACCGCCAAGTTTAATGAACCTGTGACGCTCGACTTCCTGGACGCCGAGATGGAGAGCGAGATCAAAGTGGAGGTCGGTGAAATAGTTTTCTCGTCCCCTTTTGTAGCTCAAGGATTTGCGTCAGAAATAATCCCAGCACGTTTTTTCATTAAGCCTCGATTTTATTATGTGTCATTAACAGATACGGAAGAAAATGATTGACGGGTTAACAGGGGATTACACAATAGCTACTCTGGTGAAGTCACAAGACGAGGTGAGCTTCAAACCCTGTGCAGTGTAATAATAAATTAAAATCCAGCTACTTTTTTTTCTAAATTGAAATATCTTTTTCACCCTAAGCGCTACATGGACCAAGGTCAGAGGTCATACACCTATGCACCCGTGAAGGGGACAGATTACAGGTGAGAAATGAATCATTAAAAATCTATATAAAAACATAAATTAAAAACAATGATAGTCAAAAATACAAAAAAAAAAACGTATATATGACATGAATTTGATTTTACTATAAACCAAGAATAAGGGAAATTAATGTTTAACCAAACATTTTTAAGAAATGTCTTGTTTCTCTCAAGAGTGTGTTTTTCTTTAAAGCTATTTCTTGCAGGACTTTTTACACTTACAGAAAACTAAAATAACCCGGGGAGGACTTTTTGTATACAAAAATGAAATGTCCGTAACACTAAGTGTCCCCAAAACTTGTCCCCGTCTCCCTCAGCCTGGCCCTGGTTCTACCTGAGTACAGTATGCATTACATCCGGGCCACAATCGGTGACACAATCACCCAGGCGAGATGTAAGTTCCACCTCTTAATATTTCTGTCTCTTCGTCTGTGACCGCGGATACACTCTGTCCACTGTCATCCCGACACACAACCCTGGGAAAAATGTGTGTGCCTCAGCTTATGGTTCCTATCCGTCATCCACAGCACTCCACACATGTACAGTTCTCTACACTCACACCCCCCCCCCCCCCCCCCATGTGCAGAGCCTCAGATGTGGCGCGGTGTCCGTCGCGTTTTGTCGCCAGACGTCGTGCTGTGTGGCTCCGCTGTCTCCTTTCAATGTGTGTGTGTAAAAGTGAAATTCACTGCATGTGAACGCGTTCATGCGATGTGATAGTAAACGGTACACGCAGGATCAGAGACGCCACATGTGTGACACTGTCAAGTCCTGTCTGTTTTTTTTTTAAGCTCCGTCTGGTCCCAGTGGAAAAATGTGTCACTCGCTCAAAGTGTGAGACAAAAGACAGTTTTATTGTCTCTCTCTCTCTCTCTCTGTTTGTGTGTGTGTGTGTCTGGAGCCATCCTTTATTAATCTGTCCTCCTTATAATTTACAGTTTTACATTTGAACATATACCACTGATTCTTCAATTACTCTGTTTTCAACATAATAATGGACTACCTAAAACGTTGGTAATTAAAAACAACATATATACATTTTTTAAAATTTTATATTCATTTTATCAACTTCTGACAATGATCAACCTCTGAACACTTAGTGGATCCACGGCCGACTCCTCTGCCTTAGGCTGCGTTTTCAAGCTGTGCCGCCCACATTCATTCACACCAAGATGCTACATGTAAAACTAGCATGTTTCATCACGGCTAATGGCTAACTTCTTAGTGTGCAGAGTAGAAGAGGAAGCTGGTATAGCTGCACCAAAAAACATATAATTTAAATGAAAAACTCTCACTTTTGAGTTGTTGAATTTCATTGAACTACAAGTTAAAAAAGGCATGGGAGTTTCTCCTTTATGTATCGAAAAAAAATATCGAACCGCGACACTAAAGCGTTGAACTGAACTGTGAATTTTGTGTATCGTTGCACCCCTATATATATATATATATA